ATCCATGAATTCAAATAATTTCATTTCAAATACTGAACTTAGAACATTACATCTCACTGGTTTACACAGTAGTGAAGATAAAATAGAATCATCTGAATGTGAGGCATGGACAGTTGCCAAGCATATGAAGCATGGAAGTTTCAACTTTCAGAAAACTTTTCCTTCAAGACCATTTATGACATGGAGATAGATCCACATTCATGACATAGAGATAGATCCACAATACATGTATAGACAGTAATTTGTATAAATCTGTATGAGATTTTTTTTTAATTTGAGGAGACAGTGTGATGCTACATAATTAAAGATATTAATTTCTGTTGTTTTTTAAGAAGTTAAATGTTTGTGTCTTTCATAAGAACTAGCAACTTGAAAATGCATTTTCCATGCTCCTTATAAATGCATCCCCAAGACTGCCGTTCTTGAAGCTTTCAGGAGGTTTTCATTAAAGCAGCCAGCTGCCTCTTTGTGTGGATTGGCTGTTTAGAGTTACAGCTCTAAAGTGGGAGCCTCAGTTTTGACGTCCTGTAGGCCCTTAGCAAAGAAGTTCCATTCAAATGTGGGGGAGCTATCCACCAAATAAAACATCATCTGGGGGCTAGCAGGAGAGTAGAAAGGGCAGGAATGAATGACCGGGACACGGGACGAGGAAGGGGGGAGGGGAAGAGGTAGAGAAGAAGGAGGGGGGAGGAGGAGGAGTGGGAAAAGAAGGGATTAAAACAATCCTCCTCCAAGGTGGATACACTATAAAGGAAACACCAGTAGACAATTTTACCCAAGTTTAAGCCAGTTGCCACCTCCTAAGAAATTTCCCTTTGTTTCCTGATTTCTATTATCATGGGACTACATAAATAAGAAATACATTAAGATCTATCAAATGAATACCATCTCATCTCTATTTTAATAACTGTGTCCTTTCAGCACAATGTATGGGAATGATTACGGTGGGTTTTCTGCCAAGTCCTGGTACATAGAAATAAATAAATGATAATTAACATATAGTGTGAGTGTGTTTAGTAGATGAATGAGTTAATAAATTATGTTCATGTTAGATGCATGGATTGATACCATTACTGTTATTCAGGTGAAGACTTTGGAGGCCATGGGTTAAGGTGCCAAGCCCTGCTCGCTCTTTAGAGGAGTGTGACAATGTGGAGATAAAATGTGGGTCTCCTCGGTTTAGTTCGGATACGTTGAGTTGTTTCCTCTCTATGCAATGCACCCGGACAGGAGGGAGTCCGCACCACTTCTTCAAACCAGTGCAGGTCAGGATGCCAAAAGGGCGCAGGCTTTCCTGGGACCTAGGGGAAGGGCATGGGCTAGCGCCGTTGCATCTCTTCTTAGGGCGCCTTAAGCCTGTTCTCGCGGAAAGGGCCCAGGGGACCCTGCAGCCGCCCCCAGGCAGCGAGGCCCGCCTGAACAGCCTGCTCAGCCATTGTCCTAGCGAGTGATCTCAGGGAGCTGTACTGGAGTGAGGGAGATATCAAGACACCTTGTCAGTTCAAAGCATTTTAGGGTTGTTTGAAATCCTCTCCACGTCAACGTAAGCAGCCTCTGTATTTGAACAGCTGCTTTGAACAGTGAAAGGGAATGAGCTGAATCAAAACCTGGAGGTGTCTCCCCGAGACACCTTCAACGTGCTTTTATGCGGGTTGGAGAAAGGCTGGCAGACCTGCAGACTCTGCCCTGGCGGGGTCAGCCTCAAAGAAAGGAACCCGAGACGGTGGGAGGGGGGGAAGGAAGATGGAGAAGCCCCCATCTGGAGCTAAAACCCCCGAGAGTCTGGCTTCCCAGAGCCCCAGGGAGGAGTCGCGCCGGGGGGGGGGGGGCAGACAGGAAGCTGAGGCTACTCAGGACCCAGCGTTCGCGCCAACCGGGCCTCCGGCGACAAGCAGGGAGGCGGGGGAAGCGCGGGGGGAGGTGGTACACAGAGCCCTAGTGCGCGCCCAGCCCTGCCCGCCCCGCGATTGGCCCGGCTCCGAGGTTGGGGGTGGGGTGCAGAGGCTGAGGCCCGGGGGTTGGGCACGGCTTTGTGTACTCCCGGGGATTTATTGGGTGTATTAATCCGATAGAACTACCAGGGTTACGTTGGGAACGTTTTGGAGCCAACGCCTGCCAGCGAAATGAGGTGGGGCGGGTGGGGTGGAATAGAGACCCGGAACCTCAACGTGGGATGGATCTCAGAGTGGTAATCGCCAGTGAAGTCCCGTTGCAGACAGGAAGTTTTGATGTACACGTGCAGCATATTCTTGCCCGCACCCCCCCCCCCGCCCCCAGACCCAGCGCCCTTTGCCCGGGGTTGGAGGGGAGGGGGCAGAAGAAGAGGAAGGTGGGATACTTTTAAACTGACTCGGAGCCCAGCCGCCTAGGTTCTCTCAGAGATGCGTCTGGAAACCCTTCTCTTCCCTCGAATGTATCACCCCAAGGGCTGCAAAGGGCCTTGTCCCTTGAGAAATGTGAAATCAAATCCAGAGAAAAGCAGACACCTGCCCTGGAAGGGGGAAAGGCGGGGGGGGGGGCGGTGAGCTGCTGAGTATCCTGACACGGCTCTTCCCGGCGGCTGCTGGATTCTTCCATCTGGGGATCTCTGAGTTCTCCGAGCAGAGGGGCGGGGGGGGGGTGGGGCAGAGGGGAGCGGCAGGCCTGGACGGGACGCGGCTGGCACGCTGCCCGAGCGCTTCCAAAGCCCCAGGAGAGCCGCGCGCCCAGAGCGGGGAACTCCGGGCCGCCGTCGCGAGGAGGCGGTCCTGCCCGCCGCCCAGCCCCTCCGCTCCCAGTCGAGGAGCCTCAGGCGCCAGCCGCCGAGTCTGCGCGCTCCGAGGCTAGGACTTTTTCATTTTTCCCTAGCCGGGCAAAGTTACGAGATTCCTAGCAGCCCCCAAGCGCGCGGCCGGAGTGGCTCCGCGCTTGCGCTGGAACCGAGCGCCACTCCGTGTGTGTCCTCGCCTCGCCGCGCGGGTGCGCGCGTGGGGGGGATGCAGGTCCGTCCGGTTGGCGGCCTGTGGGCTCGCCCCTCCCCTAACCATTTCTCTCTCTCCCACACACACACACTCATAAACACAGGGCACGTGGAAATCCTCACCCAAAGCGCCTTGCCCGGGGGGGTGCTCAACGTGGTGATTTATAAACAACCCAGCCACTCCCCGAAGAGCTCGTTCCTCGTTAGTCGTGATGAATTCTCTGGCCCGCTCCACTTTGCTGTCTAGATTAAGATGCTCGGAGGCCCCAAAGTGCTCCCCTTGAGCGCTGTTTTGGCTTCCTTCACAAACACAAGACCACCGGCAGCGCCAGCGCTACAACGCGCAGGGCCAAGGGTGAGAGGTGGGGACGCGATTCACTTTCCCTGGGGTCTTTTTTCCCCTTCCCGGCAACAACTTTTGATTCTCTTCGCAGCATCCGCGCCCTTCACTTGGCCCTTCGTGGTGGTCCCGCTGCTCCAGCCTGGGTCCGCGCCTGGGTCTCTCCTACCCGGCTCGCAGACACCTGCTCGGGGCGGCTAGGGAACTGACCGCGCGACGCGCTCGCGCTCGGTAGAGCGGCGCCGCCAGCGTACGGTTCCGCAGTCTTGCTCGGGAGTTCATGGCTGAAGGCTAAGCGGGGAGCTTCGCTTGCAAGCGCCCAAGAGCTGAGTTAGACCAGCCCCACCCGCTGGCGCCCGTAGAAGTTACTAATTAGGATGAATCCCCTAGCATCAGCCCATTTTCCTTCACACACCCTTCCTCCCTTTCGAAGCAGCTAACGGAAAAGTTGCGTCGAAAAACGCCAGCCGCTCAGGGAAGCGCGCACGCAGCCCCGCGTCTCGGCTTCCCCGAGCGGCCCTCGGTGCCTCCACCGCACCCGGAGGCTGAGCACCTCTCGCCTGCACTCCTGTAGCCTTGCACAAGGCAAAGGTCCGCCCGCCCAGGCTCCTGGTTTTCTAAACCAAAAACTGTGTGCGCGCCCCAGTGTGTGAATCTGACAGAGACTTTGTGAGTTTTGTTTTGTTTTCAGTCCAGGCCGCTGCGCTGTCAGAGCAGGCAGTTCCGCGCCTTTACAGGAGTTTCTCACTAGCGGACGAGCGTAGGCTGAGCCAGCCTCTCATGGGGTCCTCGCTCAGGGGCTGGGAGACACTGGGCCTGGAACCTAAAGGGAAGAGAGCCTGCGCTAGCGGCGGGTTGGAGGGGAAGAAGAGGGCCTTTATTTGGGGCAAAAGTGTCCGCACGCCTTGGAGCACGTGGACACTGAAATTCTAACCGTGGGGGGAAAGGAGACTTCAACAGGGGGACAAGTCTGGCTTCTGGCTCTAGGTTTAAGAAAGCTGGTGTGTGTGTGTGTGTGTGTGTGTGTGTGTGTGTCCCAAGGTGAGTAAAAATGGGACTACCCCAGGCTCCGTGCGACTCAGCCTTTCTTTTTCTCTCTCCTTCACCCCCCACCCCAGCCCCAATAGGTAGAGAAGGTAGACCGACACACACCCCTCCACCCCCCACACACACCCAAGTCTTCCAAGTGGCTGTGGTCGAAAGAGGGCTGAGGCCGCCCCACCACCAACACCCCCGCCACGCCAAACACACCCCGCCACCCCCACCCCCCACCCCGACGCACAGCTTGTCTGCTAGGGAGACAGATGGGGGGCGGGGCCCATCCAAGAGGGGCGGAGGAGCCCCGGGGTTGGGGAGCTAGGGTGGTGAGAACTAAGAGAATCTGAATTGGGTGGAGAGGGGGGACTGGAGGAGGGCTGAGAGGACTCAGCGCCCGGGGGGGGGGAGGAGGAGGGGGCACCTCTACGCCAATCAGTGGCGCCGGCCTGGGAGGTTGCTAGCGGTATCCACGTAAATCAAAGGGCGCGGAGCCAATGGGAGGGGGCGGAGGGGGCGGGGCCCAGGCGCGTGCCGCTGCGAGCTGGCGCTGCCAAGAGAGCGGGAGAGAGCTGGAGAGAGCAGGGAGAGGGGGGAGCGCGGAGCTAGTCAGAGAGTGAGCGAGAGCAAGAAGGAGGGAGAGGAGGAGAAAGAGAGCGAGGGCGGGCGGGAGGCGGCGGCGGCAGCAGCAGTAATAGCAGGAGCAGCAACAGAAGGCGTCGGAGCGGGCGTCGGAGCTGCCCGCTGGGGGAGAGAGAGAGGAAAGAGAAAGAGAGCGAGCGAGCAGAGGAGCCCGAGGCGAAAAAGTAACTGTCAAATGCGCGGCTCCTTTAACCGGAGCGCTCAGTCCGGCTCCGAGAGTCATGGCGACCGCAGCGTCTAACCACTACAGCCTGCTCACCTCCAGCGCCTCCATCGTGCACGCCGAGCCGCCGGGCGGCATGCAGCAGGGCGCGGGGGGCTACCGCGAGGCTCAGAGCCTGGTGCAGGGCGACTACGGCGCGCTGCAGAGCAACGGGCACCCGCTCAGCCACGCTCACCAGTGGATCACCGCGCTGTCCCACGGCGGCGGCGGCGGGGGCGGT